ACAGCCCTGTACGGCCACTATTTATGAGCAGGTACCCACTACCAATGGGCAGTGGCGGATTTAGAGGGGGGTTTTACCTCGGCCCACTACCCCCTGATTCCTCAAAATGTGGGATTTTTTAGGATTCCTAGAATTCCCAAAATTAGGTACTTCCATACTCACGTAGTCCAAAGTTTGAAATACCTATACTTATAGACATGGGCATAGACCAGGGATGGATCCAAGGGGGGCCTAGGGGCCCAGCCACCCAGATATATTATTTCCCAAATGTATTTAATAATTCTACAGATTCTGATATTACTTCTATATTTCAAATCACATGTGTGTCCGAAGTACTATCCTAGTTCATAGTGGACAGTGATTCCAATATTGTAATTTTACATTAATAAAAAATTGTTGGCCCCCCCCCCAGATTTTTGCTCTGGATCTATGTCTGAAATAGACATTGGACGCATGTTCAAATGAATGCATTTCATGGAATAATTTTCAACATTTTATTTTTGTAATTTCTGTAAAATAAATCCATGAAATCGTCTATGTTTATGTATTTTTTGTATATGTACCCTAGAGTTCTCGGTTCCTAAATATTGCGTGTAATAATTTGCCTTGAAGCGAACAAAATGCAATTGCAATTACTACATAAATAGGCTTAACTACGGTATACGATACTGCTTTATATAAAACTCATTTATTATAGCTACAATGATGAGAACATATTCTTGGAATTCAAAATCTAATTGTACGAAAAACCAATAAGTTACTTAATAATACATTTATATACATTTACAATTCATACTTCGAATTGCTTGTTTTTGTATTCACACGCACCAATTCAATAGCCCAACTATTCTTTAGCAATATCTGCAGATGAAGAAAAAGCTGTCCTTTTTGGTAATCACCTCTGAGATATCGTTCAGCGTTCTATACCAAAGTGTGGTAAACTATTTGAGAAACTTTTTCTAAAACGACTTTCTCTGAGCGTCTTCGAAAAAGAAAAATAATATGTATCTAATATCCAATTCTGTTTTTGATCCTACCATTCCTCAACCCATCAGATTTATAGAATAACGGACTACATCTCATCCTTATTGAAAACAAAAAAATACCGCCCGTGTTTTTTACCTACTTATTTATACCTACCATTCAAGCAAGCATTCAACTAAGTACGGCATTATAGCCAATTACATAAATTAAAGACCTTAATTCTTACCAGTTCCATATGTTAGGTACCTTCTACTCAAATCTTATCTAGAAAATGGATTTTTTCTTAAAAAAAATTAATTTCAACTTATCACAATATTAAAGGTAGAAGTTCCTCAGGCTTTTACCACACTATACAATATTCCTTTACAGCTGTAACCTATGTCACATAGACGCAAATCCATCAAAATTTCAAGGGGGTCAACATTTTTAACATCAATGGGAGTGGAGGTGCTTCTATCCCACACAACTAAAAATTGTTAATTTTTTTTTGGAGGGGGGAGGGGGGGCTTACAGGATATTTTAGGGGCCAAGCCACGTTAATCCCTCTGCAATGAGGTCAGGGCACGCCACCTCAACCTGAACTTCTTCTTGGAAAATGAAATTTAATGAAGCAAAATCGACTCAAGGAAACTTCATTCTAAATCGAAAAAAGTATCCTCCATTCATTTTAAATAAAAATCCCTTGCCAGACTCGAACTCAATGAAATAACTTTGGAATAACATCGAAAAAAGAACCACCTGGAAAAATCACGTCCATAGTCCTTAAAGTAGTACTAACCTAATCTAACCCACCATTATTTTGCGCAGTGGATGAAAACATGTATGATGAATCCATTAATTATACAATTAAAAATAATATAATATTCTGTACTTACAGGTTTTTGGTTACATTCATTTCATTTTTTTACAATCATAATTAATATTTTAATTATCATTTAAGCTGCGTACTTACCTAACAATATTTCACTCGTCAATTCTTGAATAATATGAAATTAAATAATTCCGAGAACGATTTCTGCAGAAATTGATTATTATTTTTCCACAATTCAGTATTACGTAATATTATATTCTGTATTATACATTCAATAACTGTCACGTTAGCGCAACTAATTGTTTTTTTTTTAACTTGGGATTTCCTAAAGCAATTATCATAATTGTTGGCAAAACTGAAAGAAAATTTTAATTTTAAAATTGTACTTATTGAATAAGTTTTTAGTATTTTATTTTATTTTATTTGCTTTATTGTTTTTAATACTGATGACAATTGTACTACATAATTACACGATCTATCGTTTTATTGTCGAGTTAGAAATTTGAATTAAAAAATATTATAATATTTAATGTTTAATGATATTAAAATGTCTTTTTATGGGTAATAAAGTCCACGGGTACCTATGTGCTACGTCTAGGCCTATACAAGTTACAAGTTATAACGTTGTTGGTTCATTATATTATTATAAATCATAAATGTAGGCATACAACAATCTGTATGCATATAGTACAACTTATAATTACATTTTAAGTACAGAATTAGCAAATTTAGCATTACAATAGTTCCATCTCATTTTCTTGCTTCGATTATAATGGGACGAGGGATTTATCTATACGATATGAGAAAAGTGTGTTTTTTCATGTCTAATGTCTGTTTGAATTGAAATGTATTAAATTTGTATGAATGCACATTATCAAAGTTAGACAGTTTACCTATATACCGCTAAGACTCAAACAGCTGGACTGGGATTTGAACACACTCACGTCTCTGGGTTGCCGGGTGATTACCTACTCTACCACTGAGCCACCCGAAAACACACACCCATGACGCTATTTTCCGCAGTTAACAGGTGTTTTCTAGGCATCGAAGTGTTTAAAAAATACTATGACATCGTACATCAAGAGGCCTCTCATCATCCCCTCTTTTTTTAATTTAACAATCAGATGCTAATCAAAGCACCTACATAATACAATGTTTAATAATTTATTTTTACGGTTTAACCATAATTTGTGGATTTACAGCGCTATCCCAACACGATGGTCCCCCTCATCTAAAAATTAGGTAATCGGCACCACTGACCATGTGCTCACTTACTTATTTGTAATGCAAGTATTGACATTTTAACCCTTTTGTATAGATAGCGCTATCAAATATATGAATATGATATAATTATAATGTTAAATATACGTAACGTTGGATATACGAGTATAGAAGTGAAAATGCAGTTTATTTTCACAAATAACCAATTGCTTCAAGAAACAGTTATTGTACCTGTATCAAAAAAAATAAACTGTTGAATATATTTTATCCAAAACTGAAAACAATATAATTAAATATAATTCAACTTTGTCAAACGATAATTGCATGATTAAAACGGTTCAATCTGTTTATTTTTCTGGTTTATCAAGAGAATCAGCTGCTGCCTGCTTGAAATACTCCTTGAAAGATACCAACATTACTAACTTTGTTTTTCTGCCAGAGGATGAGCTTCGTCATAACTTTTTTTTAATTCAGCCATTACAATTCTGCCCGACTTACGATCAATTTCACTTAATGAGCACATAATTGCCACATATTTATCTTAACATGGGTAAATAAGATAAATAATTTTAGATATTAATAAATATTATTCAGCTGATTACAATCTATAAATCTAAAATCCAAATGCCATTCATTCACTTATTCATTTATCGCTACATCTCAAAAACTACAAACCAAAAAACTACCTACTCACCCATTTTTTTTTTGAACTATATAGGTACTGTGAGATGTTACTATTACCTACTTAGTTCATAGTTTGAAGACATTCGCCAATCTCAACGTTTATCGGTTTGTGTTTGAGTTTGAGTTTCCCGGTGAAAATTAAACGTTGAGATTTTCCGGTAGCAAAACCAGTTGTTTGGGACCATTTTGTGGCAAGTTGTGCAGAGGTTGTGCTGTTATCATCACAGTTTCGCTGCTTCAATGTATTGTATTTAAGTCATCAGCGTATAAAATAAATTGGACATGCCCTAGGTGACTGTGGTGAGACGATGTTCTCAGTCATATCTAATAATACGCTGTTGATCGTTGATGGAAATAAGAAATAAAGACGGTGACTAAAATAGTATTTCTGCTATCAGTGAAAAAGATATTGATAAGAATTGACCAACTTTTTCTTGAAAAGTTCCAGTTTTTAGAAAGTTACATACCTAGCGGTAACTTGAATGCATGTTAACTTTTGATTTCTAAATACGAAAGTATCAATTTTTTGTGTTCTCACATTCTCAGAAAAAATATCTTTTTGAAAACTTCATATTGTGCTGCATAATAACGCCCGACTTATAACTAATATAGTTATTCGTCTGTTAGTTACGAAAATGTTCAGAGTTTAGATTTATAAAATGGGGGCTAGTATCAAATACCAGTAACTCGTAAATTATGGTTTCCCACATTTCTCCATAAAAACTATACGTAAACCATAGTGGTAGCCAGTAGGTAAATTAGTGTTTTGGTACGCAGTATTTTTCGTGAGGGTGTGGGACAGGGACAAGGTAGTGAGAGGAATATTTATTAGAACCTCGATTAGAACTCGATGAATTTATGACTAGCAACAAAACACTACATTATATGGTCAATAATGGTTAAGTTGTTAGGGGGGAGAGGGCAAAATATATTGAGGATTTTTTTTTTTGGTAGGTTATATCATGGTAATATGTTTTATTAAATAGTTTTATTTTTTCAGGGGATGGGGAAGGAACAGGTGTTGCGTCTTGCTTCCACCTTCCCCCGTCCTATTAACGCTGTAAATTAAGTTTAAAATTAATAATATTTACATTAGGTAAAAGTACTTATACCTATACATTAACAATTATTCAATGAAGTCTTATAAAATATAAACTACTGCCTAAGTCCGACTACGGCGATAGGCGTAGGTATAGCCTATCTTTACCACGCCGTTCAATTGCGACTGCTGGAATACGTCCCGTATTATATCGTGCGACCGGTATAAAAATTAATTTCGTTGATGTTCTCGCGATTTCAGTGGAACGGCTGAAAGTCCGGTGGAAAACGCTGTGGGATGGTTTCGTCAGGCATTTGAAGAAGAAAAAGACGATGGAGATGTACACCGCGGCGGCGGCCATGCGACCGTACAAGCTGGAGAAGCAGATCGCGTTCCTGTTGCCGCACGTGTCCTTCCGGGACGAGGACGACAACGGAGACAGCGACGACGACGAGGACACATCCTCGCTGCTGATGGCCGCCGACATCAAGACCGCCAACGACTGCGAACCGTCGGCGTACGATCAACAGGCGACCGCCGAAATGCTCTACGAACAGTCCAACATCGACAAGTCGTGCAGCGAACACGAGGCCCTGGACCGGTCCATCCATTTCCTGTGCGACCAGCGGTACAAACAGGCGGCCGCCACAAATTACAAGTGAGTTGCTCTCGCGATGGTCGGGGGAGGTGGGAGGATCGTCGAAGACATTATTATGATGTGGGTGTTCTTCGGTCCTCCTATGCATCGCATAGTAGCAGCAGAAGAACCCTCTGGGCCGGAGGATTTAGAATTTCCTAAATACATATTGTCCATATATTACCTAATATATTAATTGTTAGCCTCCCCCTGTTTACCCGAGAGTAGTGCAAAAGAGATCGTGGGCCAGTGGGCCAGTGGATCCATATTTTGTCTTCCTTATCATCTCAAATTCTATGTTATAATACATTTTAAAACAAATCACATCTTAAGTGAATTCACATGTTGATCTATTTATAAATAAATAAAATAAGTGCTAGTTTTCTTTCGTATTTCGACCACTCGAGTGGCGTAATGGGCCATTGATATTTTGGTCGCAGTAGGTATGAACGTTATTTTTAAATGATTTATAACAAAATAACTATTTATAATCGTTATGCCTACTTTGTTTAAATATCTAATTTCATCCAAATCTGAACTTAAAATATGTATAGACAAAAAATAAATCCATCATATTTTTTGTTTACCCTATTGTTTTAAAAAGAGAATTTTTTAGTTTTACACCCCAAAAGTAAAAACTAGTTCCAATTCGCTAGACGACTCTTCAATTTAAAAATCAAATCATGTTTCAACAACTTTTCGTGTACAGAGACAAAAATAACAAAAAAAATTACACCATTGTAAAATCAATACATTCATCGCTTCAGAGTCTAAAATGTATTAAAATATTTATATATTGTGGGAGCTTTATAATGACTCGTGGCTAATTATTAAACTAAATTTAAAAAAAAGAGGGGGCCCGGGGGAGGGTAAAATTTAAACACTTCGGTGCCACTGGTAGGTACTTACATATAAAATATGAGGAGGGATAGAACAAAATATTTTTTTGATGGCAGGAGATGAGTTGATAGGTTTGGAGTTTTTCGGCATAAGTGCATCAACCATATTAAACTACAGCGGCCAATTATTTTAATTTTCATGAACCAAAGAGAAGGATATTGGTTGGGTAGTGGGGTGTCTGTTAAAATCTATTAAATGGGAGTTTAAACTTGGTGCATTATAACGTTTTACTAATGGTGATTAAATCTATAAGAGTGTATTATGATACTATGTTTGTATTCAGATTAGAAGACATGGACTCGGTGGACGCATTTTTCCATGCCATGGCACAAACAGTCAAACAGTTGAAACCAATAACTGTGGCAAAAATCAAAAAAGCAGTGTCAATCATAGTGTCAAATGCAGAAATTGAAGAGATGGAGACCAATGTTGCGTGCGGAAGGTTTCCTATGACCGTTCCTATTGCAAATGAACCTAAAAAGTAGAATTTTAAGAGCTGCTGTTATGTACAAAAAATAAAACTATTTATTTAGATTATGTATAGTGCTATTTAAGAATAAATGTTAAATATATTTCAGTATACAATGTTCAATGTTAAACTTGATAAGTATCAGAACAACGAGAAATAATAATTATACTTATCGAGTGTGCTGGAGTTAATATTTTTTCAAAACAGTGAGAATACGATGTACTCTGTAATTCTGTATCGTTAAACTTATAAACCACTTTTTTATATTAATTTACAGTTGTACTCATACATGTAATATTATAGACACGTATTTTGTGATTGTGTTTAGTTTTGATAACTATTGCATAGTGACAGTCAATATTTGTAGACCATAAATTTAAAACTGGATAAATTCACATAAAATGGTAATAATATTATATGTATTTAACATTTAACACAGAATAATTAGCAAGAAATACAAACATTAATTAGGAGTTTAAATTGTTAAAAATCTAATAATAATTTATAAATTGTTTAAAATCTAACAATAATTTAAACATTGGATTAGTACAAAAAAAAAAAAATGATCTTCACTAAAACAAAATATTTGTGTGTATTACCTGAATTTTGACCAGTAATAAAATAAGTTAGCTGAGTATTTTTTTGTAACAAATGCTTTATCGACAATTTTCAAAGATGAATTGATATTAATTAATAACTATGATATAAGTTGTACAAATAAATGTGTATAATATATATTGTTTATTGTAAAATAAAAATACTTGTTTATTATTTAGTTATTTTTATTAAATAAGGTTGTTTCTAGTAAAAAAATAAAAATAGTTATACAAATTTAATTAAAATTTAATAGAAACATTTAATAAATAAATATTTAACTAGATTAACAATAATTTTAATTATTACCAAAACAATGATTTTAAATATTTAAAACTTAAACATGATTAAAACATGTTTTCACAACCAATTACGTATTGTAATGAATTAAAATTTAAGTTCATAATAAAATCGTAGATATAAATACTAATTAGTAATTATTATGGTATAAACAAGAGAACAAAGAATCTAGTGCCTAATACTACATTAAGGAAGAAGTTGAACATAATTGGCTGGAAATAGACCAAATGTACCATCAGGGCTCAAACCTTGCCACCAGCCTTGATCGATTTTGTCAATATGACAAATTATATCACCAGGATCAAATGAAATTTCTGTATCATCAGCTATACAAAAACAAATCAAGTTAAATTAAATTAAAAATTAAAATCAATTTTTTACTACCTGCTTGATAATCGTACAATGCTTCAGCTTTAATTCCTAAATCTTCCTCAACATTATTTTGTTCATTTTGATTTACAATTTCTTCAGTGACTAATTCAGGTTTTGCAGGTTCGATTTTAACATCTTCTTGTTTTTCTGGTTCTGCTTCAACAACAATAGGTTTTGATTCAGTTTTTGGAATTTCTTCATTTATTATTGAATCTCTTCTTATTCTATCAGCATCCTATAAAAGTTTAAAAATTGGTTTTCACATGAATAATAAAGTATTTATTGTATCTTACTTCTCGCAATAGTCTTTCATTCTCTATTTTTTTCTGCTCTAGTTCTTTTTTTTTCCGTTCTCCTTCTTGTCTTAACTTTTCTTTTTCTTCTTCAGCTGCCCAAAACTTATCCCTTTCTGATGAATTTATTTCTAAATTAGGTTGAATTCTTTTGTAAGAAGTACCCTAAAACAATTATACTATTATTAGACATTGCTGAATGAATAAAAATAAACTTTGTTAGTGAATTTACAATTTTCTCTTGCGGCTGAGATTGATCAAGTCTTTCTTTAAATGAATAAACTGACCCCGATGACTTAGAAACTTTAGATAGTATAATATCTGTATCCACTTCATCATCGTTACGTGCGTTTATAGTAACATGAGCTCCCTTTAAAATGTTAGATACATCACGAATGTGATTAGCACAAGTTCCTTTTCTGACAATAGGCGCCCCTTCTCCTTGCTGAAAATAATAGATAAAATCTTCAAAATTAAGACACCATTTATTAATTATTGATTTACCAACCCAATTTATTAGGACACATTTATAAAGGCTAGTCTTTGGGTCCAACACTCGACAGAATGCATACATTATTTTAGAGCTATTTAAGTCTTCTTTCATTTCTTCGATTCCCCCTTCTGTAAAGAGTGGAAAAAAAATATAATAGATTTTTAAATTTATGAATCAACTACCTAAGTATGCTATGATTAGACATAATACGTAAAATAGTATTTTAGTTATGACTTAAGCAAATACATATATGGGCGTACCTCCTTGGCTAATAAACTTAAGTATGTTAGTTGGACCCTCATAGCCATACACGGCCCTGAAAAAAAAAAATTATTAGGTACCACCATGGCGTTAAACTTCCTTCACTGCCTACAACTGGTGTTGTAGTACACTAACCAGTTGGTCGGCGTCTTGTCATCCACCACATCTTTCCAAGTATCCAATATTTGCTGCCTGTTTTTGTTCGCGTCCAATTGGGACATGTTTGTGACCGTAAAATTAACAATAAGACTATGAGCTTGTATATAGCATATATTTTTAATACCTATAGAAATATTGCCGAATGATGACTACAATTGTCACAACTTATTCGAGACCCCTGCAAGTATTTACTATTCAATTCGCTTTACTTGTCGGTTATCACTGCTTGTTGCTGTCACAGGCATGATTCAAGATAATATATATTTTTTAGCTCGCATCTGATACTGCTGTACTATCTCGTATCTTTCATCGATAACACATGCAGTAATGCCAACGATACAAAATATACCGTACCATCAAGTACCCATCGTTTACAATATTACCGTGTTCGTAACAACCATTTTTAGCAAAACGCCTATAAACTAAGTCGTAACTTTATGTCCAACTTACAGAGAACATAGTTAGTTACAATTTACAACTTAGTTACGTGACGGTATTTAGCAATTATTGTTTCAATTTATTATCCGTCACATTTTAAAGGCAAATAAAACCACATCCATCAACTTATCGCTCATTTGGTATTTTATCAACCGAAAATTTAAAATGTTATTTAGTAGTGTAAGTTGGTGTTCAACAAATATGAACCCTCTCCTACCATCAGAAAATTAAGTCAACTCTAACTTTGGCCTTGTACAAATTACCAATTTGTTTTACTGAATGCCAATAAGGTCAATTAAAACTGTTTTTAAATGACAATGTTTTTCCAAGCACATTTTTAATTTTGTATTTGCTATAACACCATATGCGGAAGATATTGCCAGTTGACTGGTTTTTTAATTCATCATAGCGTACTGTAATAATTGTATTCTTTATTACCATTGCTGCTCTTGGATTTAAAATAATGGGCTACAGAAAAAAAAAATAAAAGTTGGGCATTCTTATTTTTAAGAGAATCTAAAAAAAAAAAAACTTAATTGATTTATATCTCCAGATTGTATTTAAATAATAAATTTAATATGTTTTGAGTCAACTGAATCAACAAAAAACAATGACTTTACCCTATTTTTAATAAACCATATAGTTATTCATTACAATTAAAAATTGTTCAAGTTTAATATAGGTCTCAGGTATGAAGATGTATGTGCGCACATATTCAAATAATATTACTATCAATATCAATAATAATAATAATATATATCAGAATGTGAATAATAAATATAATAATCTAATTCGAGTCAATTAATACTTATTATTATTATTATTATCAATAAATAGGTACAGAAAATAAAATTCACGGGCGTAAAAATAATTTTAGCATTTGTAAAAATAAAAAGAGAAAACAACAATAGCCGTAATCACCCGTCAAAAACAGATGCGAGGCTTCTTTTTATCATCTTTTAGGTTATTGTACACATTTTTTAATAATTAGTTTTACGTGTATTAAATTTAATTTGATTTTCAACAAATTTATATCCGTCCATCATGGTGTTTGGCAAAGACCAAACAAGAAACAAAACAATAGAAAATATATTTTCTTTGATTTTTCATTAGTGTTTGACCTTCACTCTTCGCGAGTTTTTTGTAACCTTACACATTAACTATTATCATAAAAAACATGGTATGTACAGTACACAAAAATAAATAAATATATAAATGATCGCATAAACTACGCATCACTGGTACAATTTTTTTTTTTGATAATTAAATTGAATATTTGGGCTCGCCACTAAAAATAATTTAATATTCCTTGTAGAAAAGTTATACAGAAGTAATTTTTACTCTAAAAAAAATTTATGTTAATTTATAATTATTAAATATATATAAAAAGAAGGTAATTTCTCATTAGAGAACTGTAAACTAATAGAAATAAATTTTGGGAAGGGGGAATTAAAAAAAAAAATGTGTATAAAACGAGCCGAGTAGTATTATCCAAAAAAGGGATTCCGAGGGAGACATTTTTTTGTACAATATATATTGTTGAGTTAAATAAGATACCAAAATCTCATCCTCTGTCATAGAGGCTCAACGCTGGATGTATTTTCTTATACATTTTGTTAACCCGCAATCAGAATCCCTCTTGTCAAGACACTGAAATAAAATATCCTATATAAGTTTAAAAAAAATATTTTTCGATGGTAAATTAACATACTTTAAAGACGATGAAAGCGGTAGTCAGAGCTAAGGCTACAATTTATCTTGGAACAAATACAAGTTATTGGTGGCCGCAACAGCAACAATATTTTCATTTGGATGCCATGCAGTGTGAAGAATTTTCTTATTAAAGTCTAAACAATCGACGCTAATCTCGTCTTTTTTACGTTTATTTCCTATACACACCTAATTTAAAAATAATTATTAAATTAGAACACATTAAGTAGTATTAATTGTTTAATAATATTAGAAACTTACTTTTCTAGGTTTCAATACTGTCTTAGGCTTAGCAATTTCTTTAGAAGCTTCTAATGTGACATCTCGTTTAGCTGCCCGATCAAACATTCGGAAGAAATTATTGTAAGCACCAGTCATAATATATTGATCAGTGCCCGACCAGCAGCATTCAAATTTATCAAAAATACAATCATTTTCATACAATGAACATAGTTTAGGTCGCAAGTACTCGTGCACCTAAAAAATTATTATTTATCAATAAAATGTGGACATTGATGATATATAATATAAATATAAATACATACGGGATATGTTTCAATCGGTTTGGTTTCCATATGTAAATCCCAAACCTTAATAGTCATATAATCTCTAGACATCATGTAACGGCCAGAATTGGAAATTTTCACATCAGATATACTAGATATAATTTCAGAAAAGAAACTTCTCGTTGTTGGATCATCTTGTTCTTCAAACACTGCACAAAAATAATAACATTATTGTCAACAATTCTAATATATCAATAATTTGTTATTTTAAGCACTAACATTTAGCATGTTTATCACACAATGCTGAAGACCGCATATCACATAGACGAATTGTACCCTTGCTACTACTGTATACAAATAAATTGCATTCCAGCGGATGAAATTCAGCTGCTGTTATGACTTCTGTGAGCTCTTCCATGTTAGTCGGCTTAATATCAACAATATCTATTAATTTGTTACACTAAGGAAAAATACTTACACTTTTTATTCAAAAATTGTTGAATTTAATATCAAATAAAGGCAAAAGGATACTGAAACTTTGATCAGTGATTTCTAAATTCCATAAATTTATTCTTAGGTCATCAGCCGACAAATAGGTCTCTTGATCAGAATTTACACTGATTGAGTTAATATGGTAAGTATGAGCATTGGCGAATACTCTTCTAGGAGAAGCTTCAACCATTAATTCCATTGACTTTAACACTGGAACCTGCAAATTGTTATTTTAGATTCTGAGCGGAGCAATGTATTGATTTTACAATGATGTGTTTTATATATTTGTCTGTCATCACAGTTTGGGGCAATTAAAAAGCTATGATTTTCTTCAAATACAACTTTTCTGGTAGGAGAGTAAATCTAGTTGGTGTATTTGGAATGTCAAAATTTAAAAATTGTCAAGTTTTCAAAAGCGACAAGAAAACAAACAAAAAATTAAGGAAAACGGGAGTTTTTTAAGCAAAACCAGTTATCAAAAAATCTGTTTTAGTTTTTAGCGTAACTCTAAACAAAATGACCATAGACAAATAAAATGTTCACTGAATATCGACTGAATGTTTGTGTTACCATTTTCAAAACACCATAACAATTTTTAAAATATTTTGACTCATGTTGAACTATTTATAGGCACATGAAATTTTTGATCATAATTGGTTTTTTTTTGGTTAATGTCTATGAAAAATATTAGCTCGGTCAAAAAACTTGAAAATATAATGCAAGGTTCCTCATATGTTGTTGATAGTGTAAATTAAAAAAAAGTTGAGCTTAAGTCCACAGTAAATATTTATGAGTTTCTGAATTTCAAATTTCAACAAAATACATAAAAATCACGAACAAATTATTTGAAGTTAGAAATTCTTAAAAAATTTTCTTTTCATACCTAAGATTTGAAAATTTAACACAAGATTCCTTATAAATTTGTCTACCTTATCAAATATAAAATTTCTACAGGAAAGTCAAATTAAATTTTTTTGAGCGTTTGAAATTTAAGTTTTCACTTTGGATATTCACTCTATTTCTTATTTTGTTGATTCAAAAACCAAGACATGCAGATACTTGAAATTTACACCATATGTTTATATTATCAATTTATATACATAAAAACGTTTTCAAATTATTTTGACTTGTTTTGAGCTATTTACGGACATTCTCAAATTTTATTCCTAATTGTCCATAACATTTTAATTTTTGGGTCAAAAAACTTGAAAATGTAATAAAAGGTCTCTGATATATATTAACAACAGTTAAAAAATATTAAAAATACGTAGGCACAATTTTATTTAATAGCACTTAAAGTTCAAATTTTTGAATGATTCATGTTATTTTATTGTAAATTAAAAATATTATTCATGAGTATTTGAAACTTTTTAACTATATTATTGTATTTTAAACACGCACATGACTTTACAAATATATATATTTTTTTTGGCAAAAATGAATTTAATCTACTGCGTAATACTTATGCTTATTTGTACAATAAATTAATTTTATCATAATAATATCATCAAATATAGTAAATTACTAAGTAATATTATAGACTGACAGACCGTCTTCATTTAGAATCATTTTTTATATACAATGATTTTATACCATTGAATTCAAATTTACCACCATCCATTACAGTGACCCACTTGTAACCTACTGTACAGCAGAACAACATCCACTTATCCGCTTTTGTTTAATTTAAAATAAATTTGGTAACAGAAATTAAAAAAAAAAGAAAGAATAATATACATGGAAATAGGTGAAAAGAAACTACCCATGAGCAATCCATCAGACAATTTAAATAATAAAATTATAAAAATCATTACAACATACCCTCAAGGAAGTAATATTCATTGGATCCCTCATGATGCCACTGTCTTCTTTAGTATTATATCCTTCAATTTTCTTATCTTTTTCAGACACTTTCCACAATTTTATGGTTTTGTCTAGATTAAAAATACATAAATAACAATTAATAGTAATTAAATAATCATGATTGTTTTTAAAATATTACCATTAGTAGACAATAGAAAATGAGCTTGATTTTTACGTCTGAGCCACCTAATTTTATTAATTTTTTCTTCTATTTCTAAACTTTTAAGATAATCGAATTCAGGTTCATGACTTTGGAACGTACTGTATACAGTGTAGTCCCCTCGTCTTGGAATACATGTTTTACTCTGTAATGTTAAATACATTATAAATTATGACTAGCATAACCCAATAAATAAAATATTATATAACCTTGAAAAAGCCAAACTTTATTTTTTATACATATAAATAAACAAAATATCATTTCAATTCCTTACCATCATATCACACTAAGCGAAACACTTCTTTATTATCATTTATTTTATTAGATTTTTACGGATTCAGGTTTTGTTTACTTTGATTTATTTTGTAGTTATCCAAAAAATATATATGTAATTAAATCATACATAATATATGGGTTTTAAATATTTGTCTAATATTGGTATTTTATGCAACAAATACTACATTTGTAAATTTACACCTAATCAAAGAATAATAAAAAAAAATTAGTCTGCAAAGTTCTTGAGAAAATATAACTTATAAAGTTACAAATATGTTTTTATCTTTTTTACATATTCGTTTATCAATACCTGGTTTCATATTGTATTATAAATTTTAATTGATCTTAGTTCATAGTTCTTAAGATCCAGATTCTATAAGGAACTTCTGAAAGTTTATTGCACACAAATAATCAAATTATATGTTTATAATCGCAGATTTTTTAAAAGAAGATTAAAACCTTTTCAATATGGCTTTGATATTTGTAATTAAGGGTTGAAGGTATTAGTTTAATTAATTGAATAATTCAAAAGATTTATTTACTTACCATTGGATCCCGTTGAAATATTACTACTCGACCGCCTTTGTCACCGGTTGCCAATAATTCCCCATCGTGGTTAAACTCCACACAGGAAATTAAATCGGCTGTTCAAATAAATAAATAAGTATAAATACCTAACAGAGGAACAATTATCATTTTATAGGCACACTTACCTTCGGTAACATCGTCTTCCAATGTGCCTTTAACTTGTGAGAAACACCATTGAATCTCACCGTTTCCTGCAACAAATAAATTTATAGTGTATTAGAGATTGGCAGATGAATAGTGAAATAGTTGTAGAATAATATACAAGCAGCATCTGTTTCAATTATTTAAAATTTGAATACAGATGCCAATAAACTTTATCAAAGCATTAAAAATAAATATTTGATTATGAAATTGTTATATTTATAGGTTGAAGAGTATATGTTACAAACAGTGTAAATGTAGACGATGTAAAAAATTCACTTCTGACAGAATTAAATCAAAATATTGTACTTTTACAATAGTTAACTTGCTTTGTGTTGTACATTTGAACTTTTATTGATACATACCAAGCTGAATTAAGTCCATTATAATATAGAATTCAATTTAAAAGTAGGTATGAACCTAAGTGATAAGAGTATTCGACTATATTTAATTTCAAATAAAAAACCATCAGAGGCAAGTTTTAATGAATATCATCAAAATGAATCACATCATCAGTTCACTCCAAGATGTACTCAAATGGAAGATTAGAATATAACGAAGTTATAATACTGGTAGTCGACTGAACCTTGTGGACGGCAAATATGTGTTTAAAAGGTATTCAATGTGTCATTGAATAGGAATGGTAAATAGATAGCCAGCTAGGTCGTGTTGAACACATGCACATAGTCCAGAAGTACAGTTTTACAGGGAATCGTACAGACAAGCGAGAAAGTGAGGGTGAAGCGCAACCGGGAGAGTCGAGGAACGTTGCAGGCACACTTTGTGGACAACGGATTAGTCAGGTGCAGATATCGAACACTGTCGGTAAAGACGGTGACGCCGGGCGACTGGTCTGCGGTGGCACCGTTGGATAACGACGACGATAGGGTATTACACGGTGCCATCTTACCGTTCTCTACGTCGTCAGTCATTGTGGTCATTGACGGCAGCGGATAGTCTCATGTGCGCGAGCAAACGTGTGACCTAGAAACGTTGGCGCGCAGAAGTGTCGACGACGGCGGAAAAACGTGACGGGCACAGAATGCGTGTATCGGCCTTGTCTCTCGTCCGTCACGTTGACTAACGACGCACACGTACGACGCGGAGGTTGCGTAGTCGCAACGGTGGTGCGGTCGGGCGAAAAACTCGACAACGACGGCGACGGCGACCGCGGCGGAGGTGCTGTATCACGCGAGGCGGAAAAGCGTGCGATAACGTCGCGGAGGTGCCGCCCGGGGTTGTTGTCGACAGCGACAAAATGTAAACGCGGTGGTGGCGGTGGCGAGGCGAGAGAGGTGAGACGGCGGTGAAAACGTTACGAAAACCACTTACCGGCCATTGCGGCGTCGATATCGCTGTTGCAGCGCCTTTTTTTGATTAGATTATCCACCGTAATTACGTTCGATGAACCATTGGAGTGAAAAAAATTAAAAATTTAAAAAAAAAAAATTGTAATAAATAAATAATAATAACAATCAAAACAAAACCCGACCACGGAACGCGAACGGTGTGTCGGTGGCGGTGGCGGCGGCGGCGGCGGCGGCGGATAAGAGAGAATCGCGACGACGGCGGCGGACGGACGGCGGCGTGATGTGATTTTTCGATTGGGAAAAAGTACACGGCGGTGCGTTTGTGTCGTCGTCGCGGGGGGGTGGTGGCGGGGTTGTGGCGGTGATGTGTGGGGCGTGGAGGGCTTAGCGCTCGCTCGCGCGGTGGGGGGAAGGTGCTTCTGAGTTCTGGCCGAGCGCGCGAATATCGTCTGTTCGTCTGTCGTAGTGTACCGTGGTGAGAGTGAGTTTGACCGTGTACGTGTGCTTGTGTGCGTGCGTACGTACGTCTGGTGTATAATAATAGTAATAATAATAATATGTAATAACAATATTTCAGTGCCGATATTATTATAATATTGTATTTATGTACGCGGAGGAAATTTATAAGTGTTCCGCGGCGGTGAGAGATAATAGCTCGGTGCGGTGGTCGCGTGCGCGATCTAGCGAATAGCTACCGATATACCTGTCGACCGCCGTCCGCGGGGTGACCCGCCGCGGTCGCACTACCGCCCGCGCGGGTGGTAGCACCTGAAGCGCGGCCAGGCGGCCGCCGCAGTGCCTGCAACGTGACCGCGTTCGCGCGCGCTTTGCGTCCCGCGCAAAAAAGAAAAAAACCGTACGACGACGCCGCCGCCGCCGAGCGCCAACGGCCGACAATTGGACGCCGCACAACAGTGCTATTATAGAGCCGTGTACCTACTCGCGTGAGCGGAAATCGTGGTGTGGGGGCGGCGCTTTTGGCGGGCTCGAGAGCCTTCTCCAAAAGGATTTCGTCTATTCGACAACCCTTTTCTTACCGAATCGGTCACACGTTTATTTTAATATTAGATAAACATTACATTTTATTTGATCATTTTATAGTCGTACATAAAAATAATACTGATTATGTAACGATGATAATATTGTATCATGATTTATAATTCTAAATTACTTATTTATGGATTTCTATTGTTTTTGGCTGCCGCCGACCTCCTTGTTTGAAATTCTAGGGCCCCCACGTGGACGTAATATAAAATTTCTGCTCGTTTATATTGTGTATCAAACATAATATTCTTTTCACCATTTCCTATGTTTATGTAAGTTAAAATGTATACAAATTTTCAAATTTTAACAGCGAATGTATAACTCGTCATGGAGTCACAGCATAAAAACGAAAATTTTCGATTTGGTTTAATAAAGCGATGACTAACTACTTAAAATATGGTTGGTTGACTATTTCCCACAGTATTGTCTAATCGATTGTGTTTATACAGTCAATTGAATTATAAATAGGTAATAAATACATTTATGATTTTACTTATTCAAATGATTAAATATAGTGTTCAAAAATAGATTCCTACCTACCTACTTACTTCGACAATGGTCTATTATATATTTATATATGTATATGTTAGCTATTTTGGATTAGTTGTATTCACTATTCATACAAAGTATATTTAAATATATTTTTCAATTGGAAAAAGTCCAAAATATACTTTCAAAAGAGGATACTGTTAGGAAATTAACATTTTACGAGTTAAATGTATTTAATATTAGGTATACATTTTTACATAAATATACTATTATTCGAATGTTAAATATTATCTATTTTATATTTATAGTAACTTATTATTTTATTATTGTTAAAATGTAGAGAATTAAAATAAATTGGTTAACACATTTTAAGAAATTCTAATTTTGTAAATTGTATAACGAATTCAAAAAGTTACATAATACATATTAGTACCATTATAAATTTATACCTGCAATCTTTAAATTGGTTAGGTTAGTCAGTTTTTAAGTTAACTCTCAACGAAAACAATTCGTGTATAGGTATCAAACGGTCGATCGCGGATAATTTCTAAGTCGATCATGTTAGAATTTATTTTTAGGGACACGCGCACGAATTGTTATTGAATTGTTGATAAAAAAAATTTTCTTTAAAAGTTGATCCTCAAAGGTGAAGTATATTTTTAGTAGATCGTGACCAAAAAAAGTTTGGCCACCTCTGGTGTATATATTATAAACATAAAATGAATATTTTTTTTAGAAATCAAAGAGCATGGACTTAATTTTTATTTATAAAAATCGAATAAAAATTTAAATGAAAAAAATTTAAATATTTTAGGAATACCGAGATTAACCGAGATTCATTATTTAATATAATATTGCAAGGAACGTTTGTTGAGATCTTGATAGTTGATTTAAAAGGTTTAATGCTTATTCTGATTTCATACTTTATGATTATTACAATTATCTAGGTAACTATATTTTTTTCTATAATATGCTTCGTTTCATATTTAATAATAAATAATAATAACTATTAATTAATAGGTACATAACCTGTCAATATACCAGTATCTATGCAGCACATTTATTGCACAAGCAGGTACGGACTCTGAGCATTTCTTAAAGTAAGAATTGTAATAATTACATTATTGGAATTACTGTGCACCATGAACTAGGATAGTACTATCTATACACAGAATGATACGTAGAATAGTATTAGTATATTATATTATCAGACATACATGTAATCTGAATTATAGTTATATCAGGATCTGTAGAATTATAAAAAAAATTTGGGAAATAATATGTCTGGAGGGGGGCTGGACTGGACCCTCTCCTGAATCCATCTCTGAGCACAAGTGCACAACAATGTCATTAACTAGGTAGGTATATGTATATAGAGAATTTGTGTTTCTTTGAAGAAGGACACTGAAAACTATTTAAAAATTTACCATTTTGAAATATGTTTGAAAAAAACTCATACGAAATATGAACTCAGTGAAACTAAATAAATGTAAATAGGTTAGGTTTAGCTGCGTATAGGTATTATATATATAATATTATGAACTTTAATTTTAATGTACCAATTATTAAAACATATATTTTCCTATACATGGATTAAATAAGTAAGTATAAAGAATGTAAATAAATAGTATACAAAAAAAAGAAGTATTAGAGTCTATATAAATCTTGTTATTACTAACATCTTAATTATAATATATGTACGATTTTAATTAGTCAGTAAGGTGAACAACACAAATTAAGAAAGTGTTGGTACAACCATACCCACTGGCGACTACTATCATAAAAATTCAAATTTTAACGAATATTTGTAATAGTTTATACTTGTTTGTACTTTATAGTTAATACAATAGAGCTTTTGAAATGTAACTTTAGCACTATTATGTTTTACTCTAAGCCATCATTTTCAAAAATATTTTCATGCATATAATCCGGCCGTCTGGATGTCTATTATTCGATGCAAGTGCGCCGCAGCTATTCTGTTCACTTTATTTTTCTAAAAAATTGTATGTGGACCTCAGTAAATTATGTTTTTCTTCACTTTACACATGAATAAGGGCATCGTGAAAATATAATAACAAATTATACTTGTAAATGTATTTAATTTGTTGACATGTACAATGTATTATTTACCTATTATAATAATATTATCTGTTATTATACTTTTTGTTATTTTTTAAAATTGTTTGTAATTTTGTATGGGTGTATTGTCTGTAAAATATCTATAGGCACACAACCAAATAAAATCTCTTTAAATGTGTGACGAACGTCGAACGCTGTTTTACCGTTAGGGATATCTTAACAGACGTCAGGTTGTACTCAACTATGAGCTATTAGCATAGGTACTTTGATTTTGATACGTCAACATTTTCAGGAGAAATATCAGCTAAATAATTTAATGCGGAAAAGGGGAGGGGTTTACTTAAAAAAACAGAAATTTGTATATTATCCATTATCCACTAGTCACTCCTTAAGTAGTACAACAAAATATTATCTTTAAGTAAGTAGGTATATTTAAAAATTCTAAAAATCTGAATTTGAATAACTGCATAATTGTAGAAAAAGAGGGCGTGAAATGTTGGTGAATCACTCTGTATCCTACCTACGTTGTATCCATGTTATATATAGCATACACAAATAATATGTGCATAGCTACACAGGTAAAGCCGTAGTAAATTAAAATAATATAAAACAAATAGTCAATTAGTATTTAATACAATATATCCTAATCTCAAAATACGAAATATGATTCAAGATTATAAATCTAAGTCATAACATTATATCCAATTAGGATTTCCCAAAATGTATTATATAATATATTATATTTTATGTTCAAGCAATAAGATACACTGACCATGACGGTTCAAAGTATTTTAAGAAGTTTGTGTGTTCAAAAGTTCGATTACTTATAACGATTACAAATTTCTTGTAATATTAGTCCAAGGTCATTCCAAGGTAATGGATGAACTTATTTTTTTGAATAATTTGTATCGATTTATAGAGAATTATCGTATGAAAATACCTATAGTTTGCAAGTTGTAGGTTTGTTTCATTTGAAACGTTTGTAGGAGAGGATTGTATTTACTCCGAGAAAGATTGATTATAATGTTCGTATAGTACAAATGTGTACGACTTTGACTGAAATCCAAATCGGGACTTTGTAAGACTTAAGTAGGTACTTAGTTTATTAAATAAGATTAATTCCTAGCGATGAACGCAATAAACTGTTGAGAATTTATTTTTGTTTATTTGTGGTAGGTATACCATGTCCTACCACATGTTATATAGTCTCTTATCTAATGACTAAATATATTAATTTAAGGTACGTTGAGGTCATAGAGATGTTATAGTTTCTCGCCAGAGTAATTCATTTAATCCAGGGGTCGGCAACCTTTTTGATGTCAAGAGCAAACAAATAAATATAACATTTTTTATGGGCCACAATTTGAATATTATATCTTATTTTATTTTAAACAAAAATGTATAGTCATATCAAGTTTAGTTTATTAAGTTCATAACTGTTAGGTTTATTAATTTAAAAAGGTACCAGGCAAATGGTAAATATATTACCAGGTAAGGTAATATGCAATGGCTACAAATAAATAACGTTTTAATCATCAGCAGTTTCCAGTCCATTCTGTTTTAGTTCGTGATTTTTATACAAATTATAAATTTTACTCGCAGGCCCCACAAAATATTACAATGAGAGCCACATGTGGGTATTTGACCCCTGACGCAATCGATATGAATAAATTAAATAAAAAATAAAAAATATTCTAAATGCACTTTTATTTGTCAAGGACCTAAGTACTTAAATTATAATGTTCTGGTAATCAATAGGTACTTGTCAGTTGTCACATAGTTATTAGGCTCTTACTAAAAATAATAATATTACACACTTCCTATTATACATTTTAATATAATTTGTAATTCTTATCTATAGGTTTAGATAAGAAATGTTGTAATGTTTCACTACTCTGAGGAGCTATTAAACAATTTGGTCCGTTAAAAAAAAATGCATTAAATTTAATCTCGTCGTAAACCGGATTAAGACGATGAGCGATGATGATGAGAAATAACGTTATCGGTAAATATAAATTATTACAGAGCTGAATATTTAATCAAGTTATGCCTCTAATTATATGTGTGTATAAAATAAGCGTATGCATTAATTAAGCGCAGTGAACATTAACAATGTCAATATTGGCATAATTTTATTTTATTAAATTGAAATATCGTGCATGTTTTTGAGAGTTTGGGTATTTCTTTTGATATGTGAGCATAGATTAGTTATTTTATTGTAAATAATTGTCATTTTACATATATTGAAAGAATCGAGTATAGTTACGGTCACATATTATATAGGTACTATTATATTGGTATTATTAATGTTCGAAATTTAAAACATGCGTCGAAACGATATATTATTATGTACTTGACTTTGAATAATTTGGAACAATTGATCGATTATCTACATACTTTAATACAATAGGACATATCGTAGAGTATATAGTTGATAATGTAGCAGGTCATATTGTCACGTATTTAATATTTGTATAGGTTTTCGTATTCAACCCTCCTGAACAGCACATAATTTTATTTATATAGAATGTATCATTTACAACCGAAATTGCCTTCCCTAATTGTATATTATCTTATTTGGGTAGGTATGTATTAAGTTAAAAACAATTCTGTAAAAATCAGCTAGGTATATAATATACCTATACAGACAATAGACATTAAACATGTTTGTTACCCATATTATTTTATCTATATTCTATACTGCATATAAACTACTTATTTTATTTGATAATTTTTACTATTTAACCGTATAATAATTATAGTAATGTTTGCTTTAATTTATAACCCTTAATGTACACAAACAAGTATACTACACAAATAGTTATTTAAATTAGTATTCCAATCATATGAATAAAATATCTTTTAACCCTACATAAAAATATAGTAAATATTCGGAACTGTTTATTATACTATAGTCATAATGTTAGGCTAAATATGGTTTTATGAGTATAGAATACAGATATTATGTATTACGTGTGTATATAGTAGTGAGTGTAATTATCATAATATTTGTGGGTATTGCTCGTACACAAAATAATAGCCAACTTTAATGGGCATACATTTTTCTTTTTTCTTTTAAATCGGCAAGCTCATGAATATTTTTCTCCGTATATTATATTTTAAAAATGACACACTAGTCTGTCGTGACGTGATATTATCGTATTTATTGGTACTTAAACCGTTATTTGCCCCTGATTTTTCAAACTATTTCTGCTGCTGTGTATACGAATTATTCATTCGGAGAACTGAAGGTATTTTTTTAAAAATCAGATCTCATGGATGCCTACATGATATAATATAGAAAATGAGAATTATTCTCAATGCTGTTTCGTTTTATTCAATTAAGATCATCTAAATTCCTATCTAATATTTTACTTACATATTGGTAATACTAACGATTGAGTGCGCTTTAACTATATGTCATAGAACTTGAATAGTTTATACAGGGATCAATCGGCTACGCTTGTTTATACCTACACCTGCTTATATATTATGTTGGATATTACGTCTGTACTATTATGATTTTTCATATATATATATATATGGTTCATTATAAGGTCTCGCCGTGGTGGCACATAGCCTGCAAAAATCGTATATTATCAGGGGAAAGCGAATCGTAAGCGTAGCACGTCATGTAAACGTTGTCACCTGTATTGTTCTTCTTGTTGACGATGAACCTAGTGAGACTCGACTGGCGGATCATGGCCGTGGACTTGATGACAAACTTGTGGGCGTGCGAAGTGTGCGACGCCCCTTGGTCGGTGGCTCGGGATACACGAGTCTTTCCTCCTGGCGGCGCGTCCGTCGGCCGCCATAAACCCACCACCTCGGTGTGACGCATCTTGTGTTCGTCACGTGGTCACGGCAACCTGTGGACATGTGCACGCAGATGGTTATAAATTATAATATTATTAAATAGTTGCATGAAGCGGTACAGACTAAAAATAAAAATACGCATTAATAACGAAGGTGTTGTACATTATGGATTGTTGGTCGTGGTCATCTCAAATTTTTGTAATTCGATTTTGTAGGATATTGTTTGCATAAATTATTGGTCGGTATCTATAACATTATGTTATACTAAGGCATTGACAATTTCGACAACCATGTGCCTAATACGCGTGGCGTACTGCGAGGGAGATGGTATAAGATTATCAATTGTTATTACCTAAGAATCAGTTTATACTTACTACCTGCAGCTATACGTTGTGAAAAAATAATAAACAATTGTGGTACCAATTGACATGTTCATTTTTTTATTTGTAAAAAGTTTGATTTCAAGAAGACTGCCGCCCGCATAGCTAACGCTGCGGGAAAAATAATAGTCGGCAACACGCGTATTGTATGTAAACAAAAAAAATCGTTGTCCTCTTATTCCTATCAAATACTCCTACAATATACTTATATTTTATTTTATTTATTCTATTCAAGAAGACAGTGGGGCCCACCGAACAAGTTCGTGTGGGGGCCTATGAGTTCATAATTTGAAATACAAATGCATTAAATATTTAATCTAATTAAATAATTGCAATACGTTTTTCTCACATAGGGAACCAAAATATCAGTAAAAAATTTAATTAATTCAATAAATACATATTTTTTTACATTTATACATATAATGTAATAATTTATAGCAATAAAATGGCAATATTAAAGAAGTCGTAGTAGGTATCTATACTGTATAAAAGAACCAAGACCAATACAATAACGTTCATAATAATTAAACTATTAAACTGATTATCATTAAAATTGATGGTATGGCTTTTTAAATTTGTTTTACCAATCAGGACTAAAATATATTTATTAAATGGCAAATAAAATGGATGGTGACTTTTTGCTTATAACATTTGGAATGTGATACGTTCAATAAATAATGATTGACCTATAATAAACCTTGATTACGTATATTCGAAAAGACCTTTTCGTCCGTTTCCCAATATTTTTCTATATGAATCGTAGGGGCGTGGGCTACAGTATAGCCAATAGTTTATTCGTGCTAAGAACTATTAGTCCTTTACTTTATTTAAATTAGCGCCCTTATATCTGTTTACATGCAGTAATATTTACCACTTGTATTAACATATGTTTTTGTAGTTCTTAATAGTTGGACTGCATGTACAAATTACAAATATTATTTATTTTTCCATTGTCATAATATTATTTATTTTTTTTTAGCTGTCAACATAAATGAAGAATGTCACATATTTTATCGTCTAATTGAAGTATTATTTATAATAATAAAATAGTATAAATCATGGTTTAGGCATGCAATTTAATAATTATCCTTGATATTGCAAGTAGCAATGTATAGGTAGGTATAAACCATAGAATAGGATTGAACATAATACATGATGTTGACTAAATATGAATTCCAGCAGGATATTGTGAACTGTACTTACAAGCTAGGTACTTCAAGGAAGGTTCTATATGTCGCTATTATTTAAAGGTGTGTCTATGTGAGTGTGACCTACATGTCCAATATGACAAATGCAATGACAAAATATAGAACTATAAGATCACAAATAAGATGTGATAAAACATGCTTTCTACGAATAGGGTAAGGCAAGGTCTCCTATAGGTGTCAAGGGAAATTAATCAATGCTTTCTCTGTATGTTTCCTTTTATTGGAACGCTGCTACTACTCTTAATTAATTATTAATTCATAGAATGTATTTGATTAATTAAAAATTAATAGTATTAAAATAAGTATCAACATTTAAATAAATTGTATTAATATTCCACATTCATTGTGTTTTGTAATCAGATAGGTACTTTGTACGAGTATTTAATAATTTAAAAATGTTTATCGTATTGCTATAGGTAGTCGACATGAACACTTGAACGCATAAATGTTTTCTAAATTGCCTATCATTCACGCCTAGATCGTCGACGTTTTATCCAACAATTAATTAACAATATTAATAATGATGAAGTAGATTTATAGATGTGCGCTCAGATTCTCAGGTAACTAGCAAACATTTTTTCCCGATTCTCTTACTAATAGCCCAAAAGTATAATAAATTATAACTTTCGCATAATGATAAATATTAAATTCATAGTTCATACTTATAATTAAAATCTATAATAAATAGGATAAAACAATAACCATAATATAATATTTTATAAACAAGGTGTCACAATAAGGTGACCAAATCGCCAATCAGTAATCGCTACGCAAGTTTTTTTCACTAAAATCTTGAATAATGATTAATAAGTAGGTGTTTTTATTAAAACAAAATTAGGTACGTCAAGACGTACGAGTGTATTAATTTCTATTAATGTAATTTTACCCAAATCACTGTTTATAATTAGCTCATGGAATATTTAATGGTAGGTAAGTATAAGTACCTATATTAAAACGAATGATGTAATGATTCGAATCAATCACTTATAAGTTATAAACGTTATGAGAAAATAATAGGTTGTACACACTTACATATGTACAAGCATCTACTAATTTGTATGTAATACAATATTTCCACCAAGATTAATTCTTAGTCATCTTTATAGTATTATAGCAGGATCTATATCACTATTATAGGCCCATATTGTTCAGTGGGACCCTTTATATTCTTAAATAAATAAATGGATAGTACTTTTTATATACAATTAAAAATGAACAGAAATGGTTAGGTACCTACCTATTTTAAACCATTTAAGATACCGAAATTGATAATTCTGTAATATTATATATAATCCAGTAGGATGCTATTAATACACTGTTGATTTAGATACAGTTATTATTTTTTTTTTTCATATATTATTTAATCATACACTGAAACATTATTTCATTGATAATTTCCTAGCGTCTAGAATAATGCAAGACAATATATTTAATTATTTTAGTAATACCATCGCGGTTTCTTAGTTCATGTGGTTGGTTATGCTTGCTCGATTCTGCCGATTCTGGTATACGACGTACATACAATTGAATAAATGGACGATTGTAAGCTGTTGTAATCGTTATAGACACATTGACCTCAACAAAACTCGGACAGCCAATTTGAGAATACCATTCTATATAATATTATTTTTAAAGCCATACAATTTAAAAGCATTTCAAAGTAATAAAATGTTAGTATGCAAAATTGTACGCCGTTAATGTGAACTGTATGTGTTCTCCATTAATGCACTTTGTTGTCAGCTTCGATCTGCACCAAACGAGTGACATTTAGATTAAGAAAATACATTTTGAAACATACAAAGTGTAGTACACATCCAACACGTCATATCATCTATTTGATAAAGATTGTATGCATCATACTTTTTATTTTAAATTCAATCGTGAAAATAATATAATCCAATATAAAATAAAATAATATTATTATTAGGTGGTTATTACTATAATAAGGAAAAATATTTTGCATTTATCAAATGAATTATGGTTTTAAACGCAAAGAATAATAATTTTCCGCTATGAAAATGAAAATATATACCTGCAGTACACTGTCTACCGCAGTTACATATATTTTATTTATGGTTTGTTATATTTTTATATATATTATATACTATATATTATACCTAGCTATTATTTATATTTTATGCACCTATACAAATTAAATATTTAGAATGCTTTTGAGGTGTGTTAATAGGGTTTAAATTTGAACACAATACCTATGTTTTATTATAGTTGAATAAATATGTTTTTTTAGTGGATTAATTTTTTGTTATCGGTACAAAATAAATGTTTTTTTTTATCCAACACTGCAGTACAATTTATATACAATATTTATAGTGTTAACGTTATTATGGTATTATTTTAAGAAAATAATGAGTACATATCTAATAAATAAACGAAACGTTAAAAATATTGTAATAAAATACGACATCATGATTTAATTTCTTTTCATTGTTAATGCAAGATGTATGTTACCGACGTTACCGTCGACGGCTACCTACATAACATTCGATTTTATTTCTCTTGTAATCCAATAATATATAGAACTTCTAAATCTACATTGTGTAGGAAATTGTTATGGCTTTAATCTCGCAATGTATCTTTATAATGTAGAACTTGCAGTATTTGGCTATAAGTTCAAGTCAAAATGAATAGGTACAAAATGTACCAAATATAATAAAAACCAATATATTGTTTTGCACATTTCTATTTTATATCCAATATAAAACTATAAAATAATCTATGATATGATGTATGTATTTACGAGTGTAATACATTCGTTTTTTTTTTAAATCTTAATAACTGATTTATTTGTTGTATTTGAATAATGTAAGCTTCCATACAATTTTATGGATGTACCTATTTAAAATTTCGATAGATATTAAGTTTCCGACCATGATTATTTTATAAATGATTAAAGGATTTAGGTTAGACCCCTGACCCTTATTTATTCATTATAAATTAACACTAAAAATGTGTTACGATTTTATAAAACAGAATATTACTTCGGCATACTCATTCCACATATGTTATTTTAATAGGTAAAACTGCCGCTTTGCACATAATCAACAATAATAATAATATTAGTATCAATTAATACAAATATACTATAATATATATATATATATATGCCTACCTAATTAATATATTAATTAATTTAAATTAATTAAATTAATATTTATTGCTTAAGATATTTGAAAACAATTGACTAGGATTTTAGTTACCGACCTACAAATCGTTAGATTTGAAATTAAAATAATTTAATATTATTGTACATGACATTGAGTGAACAATTACTGCAGGTATAATTTTGTAACATTCACATGATCGAATGATTTTATGACTTAGTTGGGCATAGTAGGCAGTCTAGACTAAGCTAGTTATCCAGTGAGTCGTAGTGAGGTAAGATTACCCAATATATTTATGACAATATTTATCCAGGCATAAGTTTTAAATTTGGGCTATACTAAT